CCACCTAATTAGCACAGGTACTACAATGGACAGTTACCTTTTTTTCTTTTTAGTTACTTTTCCTTTTTTTCCCCTCCCCCTCCCCTTCTCCTCTCCTATTTATTTTGGGTGTGCACGTCCCAAACTCATAACTCCGGTCACCTGAAGAAGTGAGCTGTGCCCACGAAAGCTCATGATCCCATCAACATGTTTTGTTAGTCTATAAAGTGCTACCAGGCCATTGGTTGTTTATTTCCATAAGAAAAGTGTCAGGCTTGATTTTGTTACAGGTCGAACCTCTCTAGTCTGGCAACATCTGCGCTCCAGCATGTTTTTAGGTAGATGGGTGTGGCTACGTTTCCCACAGTCCCCTAAAGTTTATTTACAGCAGGGGTGGGGAGTCTTTTCTGGTTCGGGGGCCACTGCCCCACAGAAAAATCAGTCGGGCTGCACACAAGTGAGAAGCCAACAAGGAAAAAAACCTCACAGGAGGAGGAAGATGGGCCCCCCCCCCCTCGGTGTGCAAGGGGAATGTGGAGAGTAAGCTAGTAGATTCTGTGTGCTCCAGCCCATGCTCCTCAATGCTGGGGGGAGCCCCGAGGCTGCATCCGGCCCCCAGGCGTTAGGTTCCCCACCCCTGCTTTACAGCCACCAGGCCTGGCTCCCAGTGCTCTGTGCTGTGATTTAGCTCTCATTTACCCCTAGATGTCTCCTCAGAGCCCAGTGAGCAGGGGGAGTGTTGGTAATGCTGCTGGACAATACTGGCCTCCCGTGGTCCGGCAAATTGGCGCCGGTCAGGTCCTGGACTGGAGAGGTGCAGCTGTACTTGTATTACACAGTATTATCGAACCCTGTAGTTGTTAATTGATTTTATTCAACTGCCCCGTGTATTTAAATTAGTAGTGACATTTAATCTTAGTCTATTCTTTCCTTTAAGTAAAATGTGTCCACTCTAATTGAAGTATATTGGCTGAACAATGAAAGTCCTAAATCTGGGACACTCTGTGGTCCAGCATAGGGATGTAATAGTGCAGTCGATTAACTGAGGAGCAAAAGCTTATCAGCTAATGCTATAGACTACACACATTCCCCACCCCCATCAGGACATTTTTTTAGCAGGCTGGCCAGCAGCCTGGCTCAGTCCTGGCTTGCACCGGGTCTGGGACCTACCCCTGCTGCATTTAACGTGTATTAAGAGCCAGGTGGGCAGACAGCCCAGGTCTGGGAGCTCAGACCCATCCCCGGAGAGGGGCCATTGCCAGCCCGCGCTGCCGCCGCTGTATCAGCATGGGGTGCCAGGCAGAGCCGGTCCGGGAGGGGAGCTGGGTTTTAAACAGAGGCAGCAGCATGAAGTGACAGGGAGGGGGCTGGGCGCACACTGGCTGCTGCCCCACCCCCGGAGAGTCTAGAATAGCTGAGTAATCAATATGAATTCATGAGGTTAAACTGACACTTAACATCCCTAGTCCGGCAGGACCGTGGATGCTGCTGGATCAGAGAGCCTCATCACCTGGGAGTGGAAGCCGGTCGGGGGGCCAGCAGGAGGGGGGCCCCCCAC